TTTTTCTGCTTTCCTGATAAAAATGCTCACAACATTAGAACTCTGTCATCTTATCATTCCCTGCGGGTATAATACATACATGTTACTTAAAACATTTACAACATGCCTCCTTATTGTGGTAGTTCGGTACATAGTAATATTTGTAACAAGTCAAACCTGTAACTGCAAGAAATTTTTTACGAAAGGGGGAAAAGCCCCATATTTGGACTGAAATTTTGACAAAGGGGGTTAAAAGGCCCACTTTAGGCCAAATTTTTGGGTACAGATTTTTTGCCAGTGTCAGGGGCAAAACCCCCATTGGGGATAGTGCCTGGTACTGGTATATGAATGTCACCTGGGTTAGTGACCCGGTACGGTTATGACCTGGGCACCTGGGGGTTTGTGACTGGTACTGGAAATGACCGTACCTGGGTATATGACTGATAAAGGTATATGCCCGTACCCGGGATAGTGACTTGGGAGGGATTGACCTGTCACCGGGTATAGTGACTGATATGGTATTGACCCCGCAACTGGCGAAAATCAAAAATGAAACCCCCCAGACATATATTTTAAAAGCACTGTGTCACGAGACACCAAAAACCTGTTGCTCATCTTGACACATGTAAGGTGTCAAGTGTCAGGTTCGGGTTAGTATTTAGTACCAAAATATTGGTATTAAGTGTCAGGTTCATATCAGGGTCACGATGGTGTCACGTATCAGGTGTTACGTATAGGTGTCACGTATCAGGGGTACGTATCAGGTGTTGTTTTAGGGGTCACGATCAGGGGTCATTATCAGGTGTCCCGCTCGGTTTCAAATGTCATGTTCAGGTGTCCGATAGGGTTCAGTATCAGGTGTCACGTTCAGGTGTTGATCAGGGGGTCAGTATAGGTGTCATGTATTAGGGGGCAGTATCAGGTGTCAGGGGATGTATCAGGGGTCACGTTTAGGTGCGGTGTCATGTATAGGTGTCATGTGTCAGGTGTCAGGGGGATCGGTGTCATGTGCAGGGGTCAGTACAGGTGTCGGGGTCATGTATCGGTGTACGTACAGGTGTCAGGTGCACGATCGGGTCAGGTGTCACGTATCAATGTATGTATAGGGGTCACGTATCAGGGGAAGGTCAGGTTACGTATCGGTGTCAGGGGTCTTATCGGTGTCCATCAGGGTCCAGGTGTCACGTATAGGTGTCAGGGGGTCACGTATCAAGTGTCAGTTTTGGGTTCACGTATCGGTTTCATGTTCAGGTGTCACGTATAGGTGTAGGTGTCATGTATAGGTGTCTCTATCGTTTTTGTCAAATTTCCACCCTATATGAACATTTTTACACACTATGTTCATCAGTTTACTTATCTATCTATCATTGTCCTTTTTCAGTCCAATTCTGTGAAAATTTCCATTTGTAATTTCCCCGTTTTTTTACACGTGTCCCGGGGGTTTTGCCATTTTTTTGTCACCTCGGGGGCCAAACCCAAAATGGGTTCGAGTCCTTGGGTTCGTGTGTTGTTAAAAATAAATAATATATTTATATATATTTATATATAATATTAATATTATATAATATATATTATAATATATATATAATTTATATATTATTTATATCCCAAAAAGGTTTTTTGTACAGTAACAGTGTACAATTGTCACAAGATTTTAGTGTAATTATAAAAACACAGTTAGGTGTAAGATGACCAAAACTATAGCTTAATGGAAGTTTTTTAAGTGATTTTTAAGACTAGTGAGAGAGAGTTTTTTTTAAGACCCTTAATGTCTCTAAACTTACTGATCTTTTTGGGTTTTTCTTTCCCCTTTTTGCTCTTTTTCCTTTCCCCTTCCTCCTCCTCTTCCCACTTTTTTCCTGAAACGTAAAAATATTCTCTTTTTAATTTTCATTTTTAGATAGCAGAAATGGCTCACCTAATTGTAGTGTAAGGGGCTTTTATTGCTCCCGTGGTGACTCACCCATTTTGGGGGGAAAAGGGGGGGGGTCGAGATCATTCCGGCCCCCCCCTCTTCACTGATCGGCGTGTGTGTTCGTTCAGGAGCACTCGCACACACCCCAAACAACACAGAGGCCCGGAGTGTGATTTAACCCCCGAAGTACATAAAGGAGTACCACACACACAAGGCCCGGAGCTGTGATTACCCTAATCAACATTAACCTTCACTCACAAACCAGAATAAAACGAATGGGGGAACCGGGGCTTTAGGAAAGGTTTGGGGGGTTGTGTGGCCAGGTGTTTTACATGAAACATATAAGTGAACAGTATTTTTGATAAGGTAAAAAGGGGCTTTGTGGATTTTGGATTGGAAAAGGCGTATAAGGGGGGGATAGGGGGGCAATGTGGAATGTTGCAAGTGTATGGGTAGGGGGGTAGGTTACTGAAAGCAGTGAAGAGTTTTTCGAGGGTAGTGAGGTCAAATTAGAGTATGTGGAAAAAGGGAAAATTTTTTCCCGTTTAAATACCTTAGACAAGGATGTGTGATGTCACCGTGGTTTTTTAATTATTTAAGATGGGTTGTAAAAGAATAAATGGAGGGTCTTTTGGGAAAGGGTGGAGTTAAAGAAAAAAAATCAACATAAAGTGGGGTTGTCCAGTTGCCCTTTTCTGATGACACTGTGCTCTTGGAGATTCTGAAGAGAAGTTGCAGAGATTGGTGGGTGAAATTTTAGGGGGTGCAAAAGAAAAAAATTGAAAGTGAATCAGGAAAGATAAAAGGTTTTTTGAGGAAACAAAAAAGATTGTGATGAAGTTGGTATCAATTTGGGGGGAGAGAGATGGAGGAGGGAATGATTAGTATTTGGGGGTGGAGTGTCGCGGATGGGTTAGAAAGATGAGGGGAATCATAGAATTGATGAGGGGAAAAGGGGGAAATGGTGCATTGAAGTCTGGGAGACAAAGAACTTTTTCCCTTGGAGGCAAAAAGGGGGAAATTATGAAGTTTAGTTTTCCCCCGCTCTTATATGGGTGTGAACATGGGTGATAAAGTTGCAGCGGGAGAAGGGGGGGCAGTGGGATTCTTTGAGGGCAAAAATGTGGTGGAATTTTAAGCAGGAATTCGTAGTTTGGAAGTTTGGAGGGGGTGCGGGGATTCCAAAAAAGTTGTCCCGGGGCGAGGAAGGGTTGTTTAGGGGGGTTCGGACATGTGGAGGAAGGAGCGAAACGAAAACTTTAAGAGTGTTAAAATCTGTGTGGGAAAGGGAAAGGGGGGGTAGGGGGGCCGGAAAAATTGGGGGGAGGGGGGTAAAGGTTTTGTGTGCGAGGGGCTTGGACTTTCCCGAGGTGCGTGAGCGTGTTTGATAGGAGTGAATGGGGACAATGTTTTTTTAATATTTAGGGTTGGAGTGTGAGCAAAGTAACATTATGAAGGGATTTAGGGAAACGGGAGGCGGACTTTAGTCCTGGGGATGGGAAGTCAGTGCCTGCACTCTGAAGGAGGGTTGGGTTAAAGTTGTATTTTAAAAAAAATGTGTGTAAAAACCCCTTCTGGCAAAACAGATGGAGTGAATGATGGTGAAAGTTTTTCTTTTTCGGGCCACCCTGCCTTGGTGGGAATCGGCCAGTGTGATAATAAAAAAATAAATGTGTTTTCTTTAACGACTCCTTTGGGTTTAGCACTTCTCTCACTCTCGTATTCTGTCTTCTTTCCCTGTATCCTCTTTTCACTCTCTCTCTCTCTCTTTCATTTTCGGTTTAACTTTCTCTCGTGACACAACACCTGAATTTTTCATCGCGTGAATAACAGTCGCGTGTGTGTGTGTGTGTGTATGTGTGTGTGTGTGTATACTCACCTAATTGTGGTTGCAGGGGTCGATTCACAGCTCCTGGCCCAGCCTCTTCGTTGTGTGTTAAGAAGCTTGCCAGGAGCTGTGACCCGACCCGTGCAGACATAACCAGATGATTGAAGGATAATTGGGTTTCAAACCTATCTACTGCACGAGGATCGCCTGCCCACCACTAGTCAATGATACTTAAATATCTAAAATAAATAATAAAGTATACCCCGAGGGTACGTATACTGAGGGATACCCTCTCTAGAAGTACCCCAGGAAATACTGTCTAGTGGTACCCCAGGAGACACAGTTGTCTAGAAGTATCCCAGGAAATGTTATTGCCTAGGTGCGTGAGTAGCAGTGTAGCTCCTTGTGGCTTAGTCCTTGTGGCTTAGTCCTTGTGGCTTAGTCCTTGTGGCTTAGCGCTTCTTTTTGATTATAATAATAATAATAATAACCAGACAGACAGAGGTGAAGCAAGTCTAGCTGACCACCAGATGTCTTTTGCTTTCTCACGCTAACTTTTTCCTCTCCAGTCACCTTCTGGTCAGCCATATGTCTCATTACTCTCATTCAATCCTTACTACACACACACACACACACCACACACACACACACACACACACACACACACACACACACACACACACGCACACACACACACACACACACACACACACACACACACACACACACACACACACACACACACACACACACACACACACACGCACGCACACACACACAACCGGTGAAGAGGCGGGGCCAGGAGCTAGGACTCGACCCCTGCAACCACAAATAGGTGAGTACAAATAGGTGAGTACACACACACACACCTGACGGCACTAGGGATAGGGAAGACATGATAACGACATATAAAATACTGAGAGGAATTGACAAGGTGGATAGGTACAAAATGCTTGAGCAACAAGGGGTCACAACAGGAAATTGAAAACTCAGATGAGTCACTGTTAGGAAGTATTTCTTCAGCACTAGTTGTCAAGAAGTGGAAATACCTAGAAAACGATGTAGTGGAGGCAGGATCTATATATGTACATATCTTTAGAGTGAGCTATGACAAAGCTCTTAGAGCCTTGTCATAGCTCTCAGGTCACAAGTTGCAACCTGATAATGGTCGATGATGGATAGAAACGTGGTCGTAATGTTGCTCTCCCGAGTACGGGGTTATGGTGAATGTTGCAGCCACGGTGTCGTCACTATATTCTTCTAGGTTAGAGGACTTACCCTGGGTGGTGAGCATGGCCTCCAAATTGGCACGACGTATGAGTGTGGTGAGAATATTAAGCTGAAGCTTCTCCATAAGGGGCGCGAACATCATGTTGGACTTCTGCCCCGGCCGGAGCTGTATCTCAGACTCACGGCTTGGTCTCCGCCCGTCCACTGTGTGCCCCACGGGGAGCACATTCTCCTGCAGTCGTCCTCCTGGGAACGACCGGCCTGCTGGGTCGTTTTCCAATGGATCTACTGTATCTACCACCTTCGCTAGGGCTTTGGCTGCCAAGTCAGGGCTTCCCTCATCCACTAGGAGGAAGTCATCGTTATCCTCCGTGGCTGAGATCAAGTAGGTGTCACCGTCATCTATAGTGTTCGGCCCGGTCAAGAATATATCATTCGATTTCTGGACATCGTTGGCGGAATTGTCATCGAGGTCGATAAACAAATCGTGTTCAGAAGTGCCATCAAGGTCCCGAGTTATGGCGTCTGTACCAGAAGGGTCACGGGCGTTGACGGAGACATACGCTGCTGTGTTCTCCGTAACTGGTCGCCAGGGAGACTCACCAATCCCTGTCAACACTTCGTCTTCATTTAAAAGCTGCCCCATCGTCATGGCCGCAGACAGAGGAGCATTAATGTGTTCTTGCCCATTGTAACTGCTGTCTGTTGATCCTCGTGGACCCGTCGGTGGATCAAAATGACTGTATGAATCAGCAGATGACTGGCTCCGACTATGATCAGTACTAGTACTACTACTAGCTCTAGTATCAGTTGCAGGGGCACGGTAGCTTGTATCAGGTGCCCGCTGCCGAGTCACCTGGCCTAAGCCTACCTGAGGAGTACTATAGCTGCTAACTGGAGGCGCCACTGAGGCTGTAAACCCCTTGAAGGTTTTTTTAGGGGGAACAAAACCGCCAGTTGTTGATTGCTGTGCACTGTACTCGCTGGAAGACGGTGACCGCGGTACACTGCTGTCACTGGATGGTGTTGGTGGTAGAGTGTACAAGCTAGATGTTGGTGCAGAGATCTTAGTGCTAGCTGGAGGAGGATTGTAGCTGGGGGCCTGGGCAGGAGGAGACCCATAATTGGAGGACGGAGCAGGAGGGGCCCTGTAACTTGAAGACGAAGCAGGAGGGGCCCCGTAACTGGAGGACGAAGCAGGAGGGGCCCCGTAATTGGCAGACGGAGAAGGTGGGGCCCCATAACTTGGAGATGGAGAAGGTGGGGCACTATTTCCCGAGGATGGAGTCTTCTGGGACACCTTAATGTATCCGCCGTGGTTACCGTGGCCACCTCCACCTCCATGGCTGCCGTGGCCACCACCACCGCCGTAGCTTGAGGCTGGATGGTGGTTGTAGCTGGACTGACCACCATCTTTGCCCTTAGTGAAAAGGTTGGCAGCTTTGTTGATTAAATTACCCTTGAGCCCGAGCACTTGATTCTTCAGGTTGCGGATACCGTCCAGGATCGGCACCTTCAGGTTTCTGAGGCTGGTGAACGCTTGCGTTTTAAGCTTCTGCAACCCCTCCAAGGGGTTGCCCTTCTTATTACCTCCACCTCCATAGCTCCCTCCACCTCCATAGCCTCCACTTCCGTATCCTCCACCTCCGTAGCTTCCTCCACCACCCCCGTAGCCACCTCCACCGCCACTTCTTTGGCGATTAAAAGTGGGCCACCTGAAGATGTTGAAGTTGACACTCACCACAGCGCCCGCCAAACTCATAAGCAATATAACTGTAAGTAAACGCATGGCTGCTACTTTTCAACAAGTGTGTCATTAACAACTACCTGTTCGCAGATGTTCTCGCACCTGTCACACCACCGACACTGTGTCCACTTTGCCAGTTCTGTCTTCTAATCAGAACCTTTCTTAAAATCAACTTTATTACTCCAGAGAGCATGTATATGTGTGTGTGTTGTGTGTTTATGTGTGAGTCTGCTGTGGTTCCCGGCTAGCACCGCGCGAAGCGCACTTCGCCACAGATGGAGAGTAGTTGCGCACACTTCCAGGATAGATAGTGGAATGAAGCATCAGAGCTGCCACAGTAATGGCTGGAACACTCAAAACACTGCCACTCTCACCTACACAGCCCCTCCAGACTTTCTCTTACCTACGTTCATCCTCATGCAAGCACAAGCTTCTCATTATCTACCCTCCCCACACATCAGCCAAGATATCTTAGTGGCGCCATTTATCACCCTGATGAAGCCATCATATCTCCGGCCGAGAAAAAATAAAAAAAA